ATTAGTTATGTACTTTTCGTCATGTGGATATTTGTGAATCGAGTTACACCTTAGTGGAACAGTAATTACTTTTCCGCATGTTTGAATCAGGCAGTTCATATTCTGTACACTTAAGTGTAGAACAGAAAGAGTCAATAAGGACATATTACAAATGTATACATGGAGGGATTTTCCCAAACAAAGCTTTCCAAAAATGATGTATTTAAGAACGGGTACCATATCTTTGCTTATTTTCCACGAGTTTGTATCTACATTCCCAGCTCTAGCGTTTTTTGATAATAAATTCGCAACTTCCAACCAAGTAACAAGCAAAAATATCTTTTGGAACTTGAATGTTAAATTTTTCATGTAGAATGCTAACTGCTAAATCACATTCCAAAATTTGAGAGGTTGTTCACTTAGATAAATATTTAACAAGATGCACTGAATTTTTATAGAGGGTTAACGTTTTTGAGATCAAATTGTAGATAATGTTTCAGACTTTGGAATTTTATAATAAAGTTCTTCTTCTTCTTTGCGACAAACCACTACAGGTGCAATGCAAATTGAATCCATGGCTCTTTATAAAAAGAAGTGATAAGGTGAATGTGATGTAATATTCCTGTTGATATTTGCCAGATTATGACAGAAAATATCCTTGTTTAAAGCAGAGTCATTATTCTGCAAATAATATTTTTCGATAAAACAAATGTGCTATTACTCAGACATTTATTTTTCTGTATTAGAACACTAGTTTTACACCAGTATTTATATATGTTAATGAAGACAGTTACTGGTAAGGCAACGGATGGGAAGTTTCTCATTATTAGAGGAGATACAAAAGAACGAAACTATCAGAAATTATTTCGATTCGCAGAATATAGTAAGGAAGACAGGGTGATTTGATGATTTAGTGATATTTCATTTATCATATATTTATTTCTTTTTTTAATACTGTTGCTCAGGAACTGATGGGTGAACTCTTTTTTAGAAATTCAAAACAGTGGTTCCGTTTGATAAATTTGAATAGAGAAATAAGAAGAGATATTTTGTGAGATAGTACCATTTCGTGCTTTCTCGTCAGTCACATACAAGCAACATGTTATTTGTGTAAATAAAGTTTTGAAGATAAGGTCAAAATTTCTTATTTAGCATGACATTCACTCACTAGAACCATGGTAAACAAAGGTCAACATACAGTTGTTTTTGAACACATAAAGTTGGACTTTTCCGAACAATCAAGATAGCTTCGAGTAGTTTTAGTGTGTTTGGGTTTCGATGACATGTCACAACTCTAAAAGCTGATTTTGGGTCAATTTGATGACCACTCATCATTAGATGCTTTGCAATGGACGAGGCTGGGTTTCTTGATCGATTTTGAAATGATGGGCTAGGTTGATGAAACATAGATTTGATTAGCCATTTTGGAATATGTTCCCCTATCCTGTCTTCCAATCGGCGATCTGTCCTCCCTAAGTAACTGTCTCCGCAGTTACATGTGAATTGGTAAATACAGTGGGATTTGGACTGAATCGGTCGGATGTGTTCTTTCGATGTAAACTCTTTATTCACAAATGTACCTCTCGAAGAAACTGTGGAATTTATTTGTGACTTCATAACTTCACACAGTATAAGAATACACATTCCGACTACCTATCTTCCAGGTCTAATTTTGCTGTGCACAAAGAATATAAAATTCTATTTCCAAGGTAAAACATATACACAAATCGATGGAGTGGCTATGGGAAGCCCTCTCGGACCTGTTTTAGCAAACATATTCATGGGAATGATAGAAAGGCAAGTGAGTCACTTCATCGATGGTATTACACTTTACAAACGATATGTCGACGATATTCTTGTCATATTACCACATTCCACAGACATTAATGAAATCAATGATTTATTTAATGCGATTCACCCGAATCTGAAAGTCACTTATGAGGAAGAAAAGAGTAATGAACTAGCCTTACTCGATATCCTGCTCCATCGCCGTCCAGACGGATCAATCAGACGAAAAGTACACCGCAAAACCACCTGGTCGGGACAGTACCTCCACTTCACTAGTTTCTGCCCCATACAATATAAACGTTCTGTTGTCAAAACTTTATTCGCTCGAGCAAGTAGAATCTGCACTGCTGACACAATGAGCGACGAATTCAAGCTTATTACTGACACACTTAAATTAACGGATATCCCGAAACGTTTATTGGTCATCAGAACACAACTATGACGAAGCTGATAGCAACTGATGTGCCCAAGAAACCAGTGTACCTACAGTTACCTTTCAGAGGTGATCATTGCATGAAAATTACAACCAAACAGACTGCAGCAGCAATAAAAAAGACCTTCAATGCAGCTAATCTGAGGCTTATCACAACAACCCAATCGATCTCAGTTACCCCAATCAAGTCTCCAAGACGGATTCAGTCCAAATCCCACTGTATTTACCAATTCACATGTAACTGCGGAGACAGTTACTTAGGGAGGACAGATCGCCGATTGGAAGACAGGATAGGGGAACATATTCCAAAATGGCTAATCAAATCTATGTTTCATCAACCTAGCCCATCATTTCAAAATCGATCAAGAAACCCAGCCTCGTCCATTGCAAAGCATCTAATGATGAGTGGTCATCAAATTGACCCAAAATCAGCTTTTAGAGTTGTGACATGTCATCGAAACCCAAACACACTAAAACTACTCGAAGCTATCTTGATTGTTCGGAAAAGTCCAACTTTATGTGTTCAAAAACAACTGTATGTTGACCTTTGTTTACCATGGTTCTAGTGAGTGAATGTCATGCTAAATAAGAAATTTTGACCTTATCTTCAAAACTTTATTTACACAAATAACATGTTGCTTGTATGTGACTGACGAGAAAGCACGAAATGGTACTATCTCACAAAATATCTCTTCTTATTTCTCTATTCGAACTCTTTTTTGGCATAACTTGTGAAGAGGCCGTTTTTCATCTTATATTTGAGAAAACTGAATATATAAACCGTCTACTCAGTTGGCACAAACATAATCTGCACAAAAGTGAACTGAACGGTACGGTTCTGGGATTCGATAAGTGCAGAACAAATCAAAGAACAAAAGCCCTTCATTTATTACACTTTCTGTTGTTAAACTAAAATGAAATTGGCTGGATATGAACATAAATATTTGTCTTGGAAAAAGTAGTTTTGCTTTGTCTTCATTCCTCTGTGATTATTAATCTGCTTATATAGTCACTTAGTAAATTGATTCAAATCACAGGCAATAAGCACATCGATTCACGACCCTTCTTCTTCCGGTATTATTCAATTTCCATGGGCAACCCACTTTCCAAAACCACTTTTTAAAATTTTGCAGTCTCCATAAAATTTTTAGTGAAGGGAAACACAAATCCATTTCACTCTCTCTATAATTTAGTTCCATTATTATTACTTCTGTTTCCAAAACATATAAAGGAACTAGTAGTAAGTAGCAATCCTTAAGGAAATTTACGGGGAAATGTAATGTGTGATATTAACTTGTCCAAGGGTAGCACTGCTTCCCACTGCTGGACTGGTAGTAGGTAACTAAATCCATCATCATGAGGAATTATTATAAACAACTGCTTAGGACCCTGGAGGAAAGATTTAGTTAAATACTTGACAGCGCTTGCAAGTAAACTTGACTAACTCTGTGTTTTCAGCACTGATTTTTTGATGACTTGATGATGACTTGATGATGACTTGGTGAGATAATTATCCATATAATAATTCAATTTCACCTAACTCCTGCAAGGAACCACGTACCTTACTCACCATCGGACAATTAATAACTGATCCATACGCTAACTACTCCTGAGACTCATGTTTCCACTTTTATGCCGGGATAGCTATTTAGTCAAGATACCTGCAAAATGCTTACTCAGGCACTTGAAGTAGGACCTAGAGGCTCGTCTTCGAATCAAAATAGACAGACAGTGAACAACATGGTTATCAATATTTTTAAGAAGCCTTACTCTCCTATTAAACCTTCAGCTTCTCTTCTGTTATCGGACTCTACCTACCTTGATACACATCAAAACTCCTTTATCTGTCGCTATACTCCATAGTTTGAAGACTTTATTACTACAATTTGTTAAATTTTAGCGGCCAGTATAGGTCTTATCTACTTGCTTACCATTACTCTGTCTGCTACACTAAGAACAGTTCAACAATTCTCTGGTCAAATATCCAAATGCCTTACTGCTCCTTCGTTTCTTTCGTGAACGTTATCGGCGGTGAACAACCATCGAGCTTCTAGTTACAGGCAGTTGACGATGCACAAGCACAAATTTAGAGATGCCATTCCTGGATGTGACAAGCCCAGAACGGATAAAAAAATAAAGACCCCTCATTTATTTCAGGTTCTATAGTTAAATTGCCTACGATTTCGTCAAGCTGAGAGCACATACCAGGCGCCTCCCGATCGACGTTACCCCCCGACTTTCATTCAGTTCTTGGGGATGTTGTTTCAAAATCATATCCGTAAAATTATGTGACCTACCTGTGACAAACAATTATTATTAGTTTAACCGAGAAACCTATCACAGTAAGTGTTTTAATGTTTGTGATAGTTTATTGTTGCTTTAAGACCAGCATATCTCACTCAACACAATGTTATCGAGGAATAAATGTTATTATTATTAACTTTCTCATCAGTCTTCTAACGAACAAGACGGTTTATCTTGGCTGTAAGCCAGTGCTGTTTCACTGATTCTTCAAAGTCGAAATTCTAAATAAATCACCATCCAGTATGTCCAGTATTTCATACGTATTTTGTATAGGTAGCATGAATTCTCTCATATGAAAGATAACTGATACATCGTACATACATATCGGCCAGTTGACAGTTCTCTGAGAAATCATTCTTAGAAGAAAATTCTAAAATCACGTAAAAGTTACCTTTTTTAATTGCTAAGAAGACCTTAGGCCAGATATAAACATACAATGCAGAGAGAGGATACATGAATTTGAATCACATATACAATGACTTGAGTTTGTTTAAGTACTACTCGGCCGTGGCCTTAAGCGGGATAAAAGGATGAGCGATTATGTTCTTGATGGCGACCATGATGTTCATGAAGATGAGTTTGGAGATGAAAATGGGAAAGAAGACGTCAGTGTGACGGACGAAATGCATTTCGATGCTGTAAATACTGCTTAAAAAGCTTATATTGCTATAGGAGTTAGAGGCTATCAAAGAACGCTTCAAAGAGATCGAAGCAGATGCAAATAAGTTGCATGACTTACGCCGCGTTATCGACAAGTCTCCGATTTCAAGTAAGTTTTTAGCTCTTCGAATGATCTTAGTTGTCTTAACTCCAAAGTACTCCATATTTGTCACTATAAAGGGGTTCATAAAATCTCCGCTTTTAAAGCTCTGTAATTCCGAAATTCCTAGGATCCCTTGGTCATATAAAGTGTCTGTTTATACCATCCTGATACTTTTAATCTTTTCACGAGAAGTAGTGTTTAAGACCACTTAAACCGTTCATTGTTATTATTTATCTTAAATTTCTTAGTGGATGATTTATTGCTTAAGCATGCATTTGCATGCTTACGACCTTTTTGCCTTATATTTATATACACAATAGGAGCTAATTGCAGAATCACAGAAGACTTCACTCAGATTCTTCCTTCACCACTAACAATGTACATTGTCTGTACACTCTGTCTGTTGATTTCAATCAGACTCAATTTGTCATAATCTCTTAGTCTGGAAAGACGCACCACAGTTAAAGAACTTACCGTCAGTTTTGAGTTCAAATAAATTTGCTACATAGCTTCGTATCTATACATCTGTCGCATAATAAGTGCTCCCGTAGTTATGTCGGTATCAGACACCTAACAGGACGAATCCAACTGAGGACGGGTTATTTCAACGTTTATGTCAGTAGTAGTCGTAAGTCACTTTGTAAATCCAGTCAGAATAAACAAAGTAAGAATTTAGTTTAAGACCATAGTCCAAATAGTCATTCAGTAGCTTGAATCATACCTCAAAAATGCGCCGCTATATGAATCAATTATAGTGAAACAAGACACTGGGTTAGTAGTGAAGTCATAAAGAATTACGCAGAAGTAATAATTGATTAGCATTACTGTCCGCACTTAGTGATTTTCAGTCTATACTTGAATCTCTGGAACTTCAATCATGTATTACAGTGAGATGCCACTGCCGAATCTCCACTAACTCCTATTTGGATCAATATTTGATAACATGAACCGGCTGATTCTCACGGTTTCTTAAAAAATCTGATGACACTCAACTGCATCTATCTTATCATATCTGTCGCAAGCTAACCGTCCGCTATTTTCAAGCAGCTCTAGTGTCCTTAAACAACAATTAACTTTTCATTTTGCCTATACTTATTAAAGATCGTAATTACAAAGGTGGTCTTTTTGAAATAATAACGGTCACAAAATTGCAAGGCACTATCACCCCAAATGAGTCATATTGGTATCGATCGTGTACTGCATCTAAATCCCAACGAAAGGTCTTACTACTGAATCATCTTACATAGTCTAGTATGGGAAATCCCTATCCGTAATATTAAGAACAAGTAGAACTTTACCACTAAATAAATCTTGAAAAGATCTACTTCCGTAAAATATTGATGTAACATAAAATTGCACGTTTCTGAGTGCAGACGAGATTTCACTGTTTTAATCTACAACTTGAGCGATTCACCAAACGTTGATTTCAGTGAATAACTTTTTGCTTGCAGCGCGATCAAAGTGTTACAGCCGCATCCATAATTCACTGGTTTAGCGAATCAGATTTATTCTAACCTCATATGAATCTAAATGGTCGCTTGTCCGACGTTTGCCCAACAATTAACTTATACACAGCATAAGTGGACCGAAGCTTTCCAACCGTGAGAACCGTTTGATTCCCGATACATATGTAGAGAATCACCTAAAGTTATCGATTAGATATTTGTATCTGATGTTTCTGCTCAATTTCCGCTTTTAGTTATGGTAACAAACCAGTGTGCTTAGGTTACTCAAAATTTTTGTATTGCACATAACACTGTTTTGACTTTCTTTTAGCATCTCGAATTCTCTTTTCTGCTACAGAATCGAATAACTCAAATTTGTCGGATGAGGATAAGACTGAGGTAGACTTGCGCTCCGTGTATGTTGGAAATGTAAGTCAATATAGTATCCCAAATAACAGTTAGGTTGATTATGGTTCTACGGCTGACGAGCTAGAAGCACATTTTCGTGGTTGCGGACCGATAAACCGTGTTACTATATTGTGCAATAAATTTACTGGACACCCTAAAGGATTCGCATATATAGAATTCGATACGCGTGATGCTGTCGAAGCTGCAATCGCTTTGGATGACTCATCTTTCCGAAGTCGACAGTTGAAAGTCCTACCTAAGCGTACAAATGTTCCAGGAATGTCCATGACAAATCGTCCCCCTTTTGTGAGAGGTCGCGCACGCGGAAGAGGAGTGTCTATTGGTTTCCGTCCAGCATATGCTGGCCGAATGCGATTCCCACGATATCGGTAAGTATTCCAAACACTAGTCAAATTCATTTTCATCTTTCTGAGAGTCTAAGACTTACCTTTTATTCCATGCTTTCAGGCGTCGTGGTAGTTATTACTTTTCCCCCTATTAAATTGATGGAACTAATAAGAAGATAAAGAAAAAAGAAATTGTGCACAAAAGAATCTTTTGCTACATGTCCTTATATTCCACTTTGTTATCCAACAATTTTGCAAAACTAATAGCTCTGTTGTCTAAATTTTAGGTACTGCATACCATTGTATGATGCCGCAAACATTTTGTTCCGCAATCTAGCAAGACCCCAACATGCCTGTTGAAAAATTATACCCAAACATGTTTTGTAAATTGGTGCTATTTTGGTTTTTGAGTCTCTGGCTTGTTTATCATTGTTCATGTTTGAAAATACTTGTGTTTTCTGTTTAACCAAGTACTGGTCAATGTTGCTTTTTCGTAAGTTCACGTATGAGGCTTCTGATTATATGATTGGAATCGCGCTCATCTGTCATATACTTAGAAAGAATAATATAGATATTTAGGAACCACTAGAAATGTAAATGACTACAATAACCTGTTTCATACGTTTAAAAATAAGTGAATCAGCTGAAATTACCACACCACGTAATGAAAAGTAACTAACAAGATAAATTCGAGTGATTAAACGCGAAATAATCTTGAAGTTCAATATATACAGATGCTGCTGATCACTCACACAAACGGCGGTTAGTATCTCACTCCAGTGCATAAGCAGCTGTATTTTTTCAGAAACAATTTAAGGTGGCGAGTGTTACAAAACGACCAGTCACTAAGAAAACTTACTGTAAAAGTAAAACAGAATTTAACCATGCTGACTTATCGTTTGAGAAGTGTCATGTGAACAATGGTATACATTATTCTTATAATGTATTATCTATGTTAGTACATTAGAAACGCTTGATTTGCGGGCTCCTATCTGACTTGAACAAGATACTTATTGATGCTTTTGCAGTTTAATTCGTAAAATTATGATTTGATTAGTCAAGATCGAATGTATATTTTCGTAGTGAGTCTCGTGTACAAAAATGATGTCAGCAAGATTTCGCCTTTACTGTAGTTGCCAAGTACATACAAACCTGGTTGTCGTACCTTAGTATGTATTAATGTCATTCTGTGTAACAAAGTTACTTGATACTGTTATCGTAAGTGCTCAGCATTTCTCGACTACTATACTTAACCTCCACAAAACTGACCTGGTGGATACTTCACGCACAGTGTCCGCAATAACAAAGAAGCAATATTTGGCTACAAAAATTCAGTATCAATGGGATTTAAGCAAAAGAATGCTTGTTTCGATTCTCCAGTCTTCGGGTATTTTCTAAATAATGACACATCACTGGACACCTTTCACAGAAACGATTTCAAGACAACCTAATGAGCAACTAGATGGACCATTTACTCACAACTCGATCTTTTTGATTCGACAATTCCATCTGTGTTACTGTGGTGTGGCAACTTGAACTGGTATACCTACGAAGTTGTGAGTTGCAATTGACCGACTGACTTTGTTGATTAAAACCTAAGCTATATATTCCGATAAAGATGTTTCTCATCTGACTTGGGGAAATAGCATCGCCAAACTAATCTCAGTTTATATAAAAAATGACGAACTTAATTTGATAGTGTAAGCAAACTCAGCAAATTATAAGTAGTACTATTTGAGAACGTCTTTTAATATATTATTAAGGCTTAAACGACCGGTAACAAATTGAACAACCAGTGATGACAAAATGGTACGAGGAACTGAGCCTTAGAAGCAACTACCTCCAACAGAACCCGAAAGTTAACACTCTTTAGCAATAATAGGAATTATTGTTAAACAATTCGAAGAACTCATGAGAAGACTAAACACAACATCGAAGTGGCATATCCAGACCTTCATGCAGACGTTACTGCACCAACAGTTGTAGGAACCAACATGACTATCGGGCAAGGAAACAGCAGCACTGGTGATAGATATGGGGATAACTGTAAAAGTATCCTTCGTGCTCCTTGGAATGATTTGGAAGGGAGAACAAGTATTAGCAGTATGTACACCTCATCATGATACCAAAGGAAGAAGTTCCTCTCCACAAGTGATAACTACCAATGAACTACGCTGCTATCAGTCTTACACGGAGTTATTAACAGAGTCACAGAACTGGATGAAAAGATTCGAGATCGATCAACTGGTTTTAGAAAGGATCGATAACATTCCGACCAACCACAACAGTCAACTGAATGGAACTCTACTGTCTCAGCTTCCTCGACTGAGAGCACGGTTTGGAAGACCCAATGGAAAATTCTTTTATGCTGCAGTACGTGTATTGACCATCACCAAAACACAAGATTCGATGGCCAACATCTTGATCATACATTAAGGCCTACTCACTGATGCATTGCAAAAAAATGGTGCGGGATAAGGCTTCCCACTTAGTTTTCTCCGCTAGCTGATGTATGTGTTGTAAAGACCACTAACTTTTAAGAAAAGCGCCGATTGCAGTGGACAGACATGATTTTAATGTGCAAGTGACTTAGCTTTGCTATCGCTACTAGAGGTTTGTAGGACATGCTATGCATCAAGAACAATTCCTAACTTCGAAAATCCAAGGCGAAAGATCAGACCAGAGAGTACATGGCCTCAGGAATTGAACCTAGACATTACGACCATGACTAGGACTTGAGATCAACTGGAAAGTAAAACCCAGAATGAAGTTGCGTGAAAATCCTTGGTGTTCACCAGGCTTATATAATAGAATAATTTAGCAATCGGTGTTTATTATTATTTATCATATATATATATATATATATAATGCACGTAATGCTTTAATATATCTCCTTTTTATACACCAGATTGCTTACTACTTTTATTTAACTCAGATTTAAGCATTGATACAACAAAACTCATGGTAGTAGGTGTTGGCCAAGTCGATCGCGAATCTTAATTTTTAATAACCATGTAATTGTCAGACAACGAAGACTGGTGAGCGATAAGACTTCCCAACTCTCACTTTACCGCTTGCTGACGGGGTTGTAAATACTACTTTTGGGCGAAGCACCGAACACAGTGTACAGTTTAGATACAGTGAGGTGATTTGGATTTCGCATACAACCTAGTTGTTTCACATACACAGCAACACATGCAGGCGAGGACAGCTACCTTAGTAGCAGCTTCTGAGGCAGCAAGTCTGCACGCTAATAAAGCGGAAGACTAGAAACAACTAAATCACACTAGATGGGAAGGCTATGGAGTAAGTGAAGACTTGTAATTACATAGGCAGCATCATAGATAAACAAGGAGGATGTATTGTATGAAGGCATGTATTAAGAAAAAAAGGGCGAAATTCCTATAATTGGAGAACAACTCCCTTAACACTCAAATCAGATGCTTCGATGCAAACCTCAAGACAGTTCCATTGTACGAAACGGAAGCCTGGAGAACTAGTACAACTATCATCATAAAGGTATTCAAAAACAGTTACCTATGCAAGACACTCCAGATCCATCGGTCATACCACCTGATAGATAATAAACCAGCTTTCAGCTGACGAGGAAGTTAGGAAACGACATTGGAGGTGGAGAGGACAAAATAAAAATTATCACACTATCATATACACAGACCCAACTTTAAATCCTCAAAACAAATGGACAAAGCGTAAACTGGATATAGACGCGAAAAGAATGAATAGCTCTTAGCAAAACTGAAAATGAGAGAGAACAACAGTCGGTTAAAGGATCCTGTTCGGCAGCATTTGCTCCACATGAGATGATCAGCGTAAGTAATTAATGTTTTGAAAGTTTCTTAAACCTTTATAATATACGGAATTTTATTAAGTGTTTCTTTTTTGTTCGTTCCTTAAGTCATTTAGCTATCGTTTATAATACTGGTCGTTCAGTCTGACTGCCTAGGTACTATAATGAACACAGGTAAAAAAATTTTTGAGGACAGGGTTGTTTATTCTATATGCTTATCGAAGTTGCGTAATGACTAAATTATTAAATGACTACAAAAAGCAACTAATATGGATAATATCTTGTAGAAGTTTAAAATATAGGGGAAAATAAAGAACATGTCATTCATGCTACGATGACAATTGCACAACATTTTGTAAATAAGGGATTACTGAACAAATGTTACAGTGAGCAGTAAGAAAGTTAATATAGTTATATAATATAATGCACTTCATTGTTTCTGTGTGAAAACGAGTTCATAAAAAGCTTCTAAAATACAACCAACACTCCATGCTTGAGCTTCACAACTATCCTTACACAGCTAAAAATAAAAGAGATAATTTTAATTATCCATAGAGAACTTCATATTATATTATGTATAAGCATAATTCGAACTATCGCTATCAAGATGTGACTATCAATATAAGCATATTTCAGTCAGACAGTTACAACATAGAATTTCGTACCCACATACATCAGCTCAAGATGCCGTACCACATCGGCACAGAGACTCAGTTGAATTCGCATAATAAAAGTATTAAAAGTACTAGCGGTAATCGGATGAATTGTTCAAGACGTATAGTCTACTGAAATAAACTAAAAGCTAAAGATGAAGGTGGGGTAGAATCCAGAGAATTCGAATTTGAGAATCCAAAAACTAAATTCTCCTGCGCCATTGCAAACGGTTTTGAGCGGTAGCTGAATTCCTGAATCTGCAACGTGTTTTCGTTTGGCCGCCTACTCCTACACTACAAAACATCATTCTTCGGGCCTGTCGGTGGTTAAGCAAACGTAACAGATGACCCAACCACATCAACCAATTATGATCCACTACTTCATCTACTGATCTGCCATCCTTACCTAACAGCAGCACTGTTTACCCTGGATAAACGAGCAATGCTTCAGCATATCTATGATTGAATAATGATAACCGAAGAATATCTACTGTGACTAGCCGTGCTTCACAGACATAAAGGAGGACGGAGCGTCCAACTTCACATTACACTCGTCCTTTGGCTAGCAGACGGATATCTCGCTTACGCAATAAGTGACGCAGGTTGGCAAAAGCCAGTAGGGCCATCTGTATCCCTGTTAAGACTTCCTCACACAACAGGCCATCAACACTGATGAGACTGCCACAATAATGGAAGCAGTCGACACGCTCAACTGCTTCACTCCCTATCACTAGCTCAGGTGTCGATGCAACACAAACCAGAAGCAACATTTTGCATTTCAAGGGGGAAAACCGCATCCCGAATATGCTTGCATTGTTGCCTAAGGGTGGTCGGAAGGCTGCATTTTGTCGGCGTCTTCACTGAATAGAACTATGTCATCGGCATATTCTAAGTCAACAAGCGAATCTCCCAGTATAAGCTCAACTCGTCAGAAGTCAGACGAGGAAAGTGTCACATGCAAAAGCACGTCAATGAAAAAGTTAAACAAGAATGGAGAAAGTGGCAGTTCTGATGAACACCACTTGAAGTAAGCAATTCCGACGACAGTTCGCCATAAGCTCTCATTTGACCAGTGTTGTTTGCGTATCGAGCCATTATAAGCTTAACGTGATTCTCTGGTACACCTTCCAATGACAGACACTGCCATAGAACCTCACGATTGACAGAGTCGAATGCCACCCCAAGGTCAAGGAATACAACCATAGTCGGACGTCGAAATGTGTCTTTTTTCTGCGACCTGTCGTAGTTTGAATATGTGGTCTATACAGCCGGCGCAGTTTTCTCGAGTCTGCTCTTCGCGAGCCCTAGTTAGGCGTCGAAGTATTATCGAGGCTAACATTTTAGATACTGTATTAGTCAAACTGATTCCTTTTCGATTGTCACAAGAGGACTTTTGTCGTTTTTATAGATCGTGGTCGAATTCTGTGAAATAAAGTGACAAATTTAACATATTGGTGTATACAAACTTTGGGTTTTGTGTATTCTTAAGTACCATCATGGATAGTGCATTAATAATAAACTTATAAACTAAACAGCTTTTCAGCATGCTAAGATGCTGCTATGTTACCTTATCAATCTACAGAGAAGGGTTGGAACTGTGATTCATGTTTTTGTTTTCACCTAAACATTACCATTACAACAAAATAATACTCAACAACCTAGTTAATCATGGTGGTCATTTACTGTGAAACATGAAATTTGCTCAGGTTTCGATGATTATACACCTCTGACAGTGGATCAGATTACGTATACGTTACAGTTCATAGGTTAGAATTTGCGTAGTTTACATCGCTAGCATATGCTAGTACTATCGAGCGAGAAGTCTCAAAGTTGGACAAAGCACCAATCAAAGATAGCAAATTGGTTGGTAAGATTATGAGTCTTCGTCGACTGAGGTGGCTTGAGATGTGTTGATTATCCCGAACCACTCCCACCACGGTGCGCTGTTAACTATCTTGTGAGTACGTTTAGAGGAAGCTAGGGACGGTAAAATAAAAATGTGGGATCAGTTTGTGAAGCCCTTGACTTTTGAACTGAGCTATGCAGGCAAATGTAGATTGCCAGGTAGTCGACAATTACCGACATGGCTAAGTCCACTCGTCAATAACTTCAGTGATTTGTGCCATGTTTTGGTTTGGCCGTTCCTAACTTTTTCCAACCTATTCCTACACTACAAAACAAAGCTCGACGAGGCAGTCGGTGGTTGGGCATACGCAACACATGTCCCAACCACCTCAACTGATGAAGTGTAACTACTGCGTCTATTGATCTGCCATTATTACCTAGCGTTGCTCATTCGGGTGTCCCAGGATATACGAGCAATGCTTCTAAGACACCTATGATCGAAAACCATTAACCTAAGACGGAGTGAACTACTGCGCAGTACACTCGTCCTTTAGTCAGCAAACGGATATCTCGCCTACGCCATAAGTGTCGCAGGTTGGCAAAAGCCAATCGAGACTTCTGTATCCGTGCTGAGATTTCGTCAGTCACCAGACCATCAGCACTGATGAGACTCCCCAGATAAGAGAAGCGGTCTATACGCTCGACTACTTCACTCCTTATCACTAGTTCAGGCGCCGATGCAACCTACTCTTGAAGCAACATTTTGCATTTCGAGGGGGAGAACTGCATCCCGAACGTGCTTGCATTGTTGCTCAGAAGACCGCATTTTGTTAGCGTCTTCACCAAGTAGGACTATGTCATCGTCATATTCTAAGTCAATAAGCGAGCCACGTGGTAGAAGGTCTATTCCTGAAAAGTCGGGCGAGGATAAGGTTATTTCTAGGAGCATGGCTATGATAAAACCAAACAACAATGGAGAGAGTGGACATCTCTGACGGACACCACTTGATGTAGAGAATTCAGATGACAGTACGCCATAAGCTCTCACTCGACCAGTGTTGTTCGAGTAGATAGCTTGTTATAAGGTTAATGTACTTCCAACATGTGGACTAGAACGAGGTTTCAAGAGACCAGGAATGACGTTTCGTGAACTCGCATCGTTTGCATTAGCGGAATATATGTTCCAGCCAGTATAGCTCGGTTGGGTCATCACGATATGCAAGCCCGACCACCACATATAGGCAGCAGCTACGGTCGGGCACTGTTAACTAGCTTGGGAGTACGTTTAGAGGAAGCTAGGGACGGTAAAATAAAAATGTGGGATCAGTTTGTGAAGCCCTTGACTTTTGAACTGAGCTATGCAGGCAGATGTAGATTGCTTAGTTGAGGACCGCGTGATCAGTGAAACTAATGTTTTGAATTGTTAAGTGACATTACTGAGAATTGACAACAGTGGTACCGATACAAATACGTTTTGCTTTGAAATTCGAATCTGTGAATGAATTTTTTTCGAATCATTTTCTTTGAACCAACTACTTCATAGTGCGTCGGATACTAATAATACGGACTTATTATTCACTATAACGATTTATTCGAGTTATGAAGTTGCACTTTTTACCGATACACTTATTTCCAAGATTTTACATTGCTAAGACGGACTAGTTGACATAATAATGGTCAAACAGAGTAGTCGATTTTTTTCTTTAGCCGGCTACCAAGAGGAGTTGAACCTTATATAGTGACTAGTATACATTTGTATTCTTATTTAATAGAGAATTCAAAAAGCTTACCTGACCATTTGCATTTGTCAGTTCCGGAAGAGAACACCATTGATTTGACTCTATTTTCTGATTTAGTCTTGCAAATGTTTTCTGACATTCTGTGGTTACTTCTAGTGTAAGATGACCCCATTTTTTAGGATCCAACTTGCCTAGCATACGTGCAAATTTTAGGCGAGCGCGTAGATAGTATCCAGTCGGCCATAACCATTCTGGGCCCTTAATTCAAATTACTAAGTGATTAGTATTTTATGAAAGCAGTATCACACAGAAGGTTTAAGAAAATTAAAATACCCAAGTGGAAATTTTGGTTAACTGATTGTCAGTTTTTACCGTTGAGGAGTATGGTCTATACCATACTGAAACATTAACTAACCGCTAGGTATCATAATCAGAGATACAATGTCGACACCTAGTATTGTACTGCATAAGTAACCTTGGACAATAAACGTGACTAACGGAAAAATTATTGGAATGTCTTTCGTGCATCTCTTGTATCTTAGCATTCTCAACTTCGATGAAAGGAGTAACTAGTACACAATGAGACTATCAAACGTAAACATAGATCTCCTCAGATTCAACTTTAAATAGTCACTAGACCACTTTTAATAATATGTCTGTACATTATCTTAAATTTGTGTCTTAGAATCTCAGTAAATTATTCAGATTTTAGTTATATTTAATGACCGGATTTACCTATGCATGTACCAATTACTTTATTGTAAAGATGGTAGCATGACACCAGAGATAACATGAAAGTAACGTGACATCCTCCAGCATATTCGTCTAGTCATGAGTATAAGTATAACGTGATAGTAAATTTTGATTTTTCAATCCAATGCACTTGCATTCATAAACAACAGTAAACTGATAGGATCGAAGATTTTTCGTTAAGTTATTAACTCCCTTACATATATATTACAGCTCATAGCTATTTAACGTATGAAGCCAAATATTATTATTCAATCCACGCAGTCACACTGAAGAAGCTAGAATATAAAAAGTATCAATGTACATTAGTTTTAATTGTGCATTGTGTGTATAACATCTCCAACCAAAGACTAATGAGAATATTGGAATCAGGATGATAATACGCTTGCATAAAAACAAGACTAACTAATGACATAGAAAATGTGATAACCGTTATAGCTTCAGAATTGGCAAAGATGAAAATAGCACAAACTGATCTGTGATGCCAATATAACTTATAAAAAGATATAGGAAGCGACAAACATTTCATCATAAAAATTTCAAATAAACAAAATGATGACTTGCTTGATGATAATTAAAACCACGAGCTATAGAGAAATCACAGCTATCATTTGAGTTATCATAGTATCCTCGATAAGCTAAATCATCTCGACTCAAAGTGCACATACCAAGTGGACCAGTTAATCGCTGTTGAGCTATTTCTAATGCATTCCACGCCCGTTCAGGTGTAAACAATTCAGGAGCCTATTAGAAAAATTTTGTTCTGAGATCAGTTATTTCAAAAAGAATGAATGGATTTCTCATTCAGCTATATCACCACATTGAATTGAATGTTATTAACATGCCCAAGTGAATAACAAGCAACATAAAACGGAGATAATGGAAACAGGCTACCGACTGTAAACGGGAATCAAGACGAAGTCGGTAATGTGATTTATGAACTGGTATTGTGTAAGTATTGAATGTTGATGGAATATATGAAACACCAGTTAGCTTATTGATGATGACAAACAACACTTTTAAAGGTTATCTACTCAAATTTTTGTTGGGAGAGAATTTATAGCATAAAGCAAATGATTTATCGCTTAAAGCTTAACACTGTCTAAAAAGGAAAATACGATAACGCGGTCTCACAAAACCACGAACACAAATTTATCACAACGCAGCTTTTTTATGTTCTAAGACAACTAATACTTTGGTCATAGCGCTCCCCATTTGTTTTGCTACAGTAGGGACTAAAAGAACGGGCTTATCGGTAACTTTTTGTTGGAGAAGGCAAATTAAATTACGATCTTAGTGCAGCAACCATTAGTCGGGATATTTACTCATTTATTTTTTAAATTCTAGCGATGTTTTGCAATGTAGGAATAGATTGGAACAAAGCTAGGAGCGGCCAGACCAAAACATGGCACAAATCCATAAAGTCACTGACAATCGGACTAAGCCGTGTTGGTAGGTGTTGACTACCTGGATGGGGCCCGCGAGATGATAGTAATCGATGGTCAGAGACCCTGAATGACATGGCTGAAAACCGTTTGCAATGACGCAGGTGCATCTACTCTTTTGGTTCTTTCAAATCCTAATCCTCTGGATTGTCCATCACTTTTATCGTTTTGCTTTTAAGTTAATTTCACTAGATCCTACTTCTTGAATAATACTTTGGAAGCCTAGTCTCTTATTATTGCTCATACTTCTACTACATTTACTATTTCATCTATGTTCTAATGTGGTATGTCAACTCGAACTGATGTACGTACGTACGAAGTTCTATGTTGTTGTTGACCAACTGATTTTTAAATTCTAATGCTAGCAACAGAACGAGTTTACTAAGCATGTTTCAAACAACTTTACGTTGCAGAGAGCGCATTAGTTCGTATAAACCAATCAGTTACTAGTGGATGAACTGGAAGGACTTGAAATTTCCTGTGTAGAGTTTATTATGTCAGTGACATTTTCTTACCATTGTGAATTGACTTTCTGTTTGCTTTGAAGTATATTTAAATTTCTACTTAAGTTGTGTTTTGGTTTGAGAATCAGTTGAGTGAAGTGTTCAAGAATATTAAAGTTTACAATTAATCCATGAATCATAAGGTTAACAGCGGTTTTATGAAGTAAAATTTTCAGTAAACTGAGAATAGTGACCGATTTTATCAGTAAAATAAATGAATGATAATGAAAAGACAAGTGATATTATTTGGTTGACTACATGGATAAGCGTAGCAACACGTAAATATACATATATAGAAAAGTTACTTTTGATAAAACTATCACTATCGTCTGTCAGTACCTGTTCAATTACACATATAACTTTATCTAGTGTTAAACTGCATCATGCAAGTATAGTGTCAAATGATAATACATACTTTACGTAGTTGAAAACTTACTACAACCATGGTGATCAGGAAATTGGGACGCAGCTGATTATCTGTGTATCCTCCAGACGAACCAACAGAATCCCTATAAATCCCTTTATTATACAATAAGTTAGGGTCTTTTGTGCCTTCTGGGATCCAAAAGTGCGATTCGAAAGAACTTTTCAGTAGATTCGACCATTCCTCCCATTGAAGTTCTTTACCAGATGTCAGTTGAACACCGCCATGAGGATAATAGCCAGAGTGATTTCGACCTCGATTGTGGGATTCCGCTAACCATGACACAACTGCATACGCTAAACCTACTAATTCAACTGCGGAACCATCACGAGGAGTAGCAGGTATACCCTGATTACCAGCCTTTGCTGAACTGCCCATCTTATCCATCCATGTGCCACAGTTAAACGCGTTACCACCACGAGGAAATCCTGTATTCAAATCAATGCTGGCCTGAACCTATAATAAAATACAAAAGACTAATGTGTTAAGATTCTTAACTCCGAGCAAGCATGAACCTTATGTTGCTCTAGTTCATAAATTTAATCCAATCACAAACCATTGTCGTATTCACAATACGTAGCCCGTTTACTATTGTGTTGCTGTTTGGTTCTCTGAGCTGGATGTTTTAGTTGTGGAGCTTTCACTGTTCTTCTGAACAACATCATAAGCACAAACTTCAGATAGAAGTGAAGTATTCGAATTTCTCCAATTAAGATCGAGGTTAGCAGAACAAGCTACAGGTCAAACGTGGAGAAATTCGAATACTTCACTTCTATCTGAAGTTTGTGCTTATGATGTTGTTCAGAAGAACAATGAAAGCTTCACAACCAAAACATCCAGCTCAGAGAACCAAACACCAACACCACAATCATCTACCTGAGCTACAAATCTTCTCCACCATCCCGTTTATTATTTCCTACACTACTGAGTGAACTTGAATTCTACATTGTGATTAAAGAACACAAAATTTCGATTTCTAATATCGCTTAAAATTAATGCATGGTTAAATGCTTGCTTATATTAAAATATGAAGCAAAAGTGATGGTTGGGTGCCAAATATTAACCACAATTGATTGCTAACCTTAAATCCTTCCGGTTTCATATGTTCATCTAAAGTTGGCCCGGCGTTCCTTTCGATAAAGTCAATACCAATAATATGTCGTTGCAAAGCTTCTTGCATTATTTCATGCAAGGGTTGTATACGTTGACTGCACATTGAACCAGTCAAATATTCATCTGGCCAACCGACTGCATCATCATCTGGAAACCATCTGTAAACTGGACAATCCAGAATACTAGGAGACACATCTTCTTTAGTACTTGAAATAAGTTGTTCGTAAACAACAATAGAATATAGCCAATACCAAACAGCATCACGACAGTTGTATCTTGGTTTAACAGTGTAACCATCTCCTATGAGGTTCGGTATGAGTCCATGTCTTAATAAACTAGCATAACTGAGAATAATATTAGCAGCATCCTTTTTGTAGGAGAAAAGAAAAAAGTGCACAGAAACTTTCTCAATAAATAAAGTGAAATACGTTGTAGAATACAACAGTTCATTCTGAATAGCGTTACAATTAAAATGAAGTTTAACTCGATTACAACTTCATAAATGAATCTAATTTATGATATTCTTAGTTGATAATTATTTACAACAAAACTCGGCCTCAAATTTGCTTTATCCTTCTATTCTTATTGTTATGATTATTAAATTTTTAGAAGTGAGATGAGTTGGATTTCGCAGATGAGCTAGTTCTTGTATCACATACACAGCAACACATGCAGGCGAGGACAGCTAACGTAGTAGGAGCTTCCGAGGAAGCAGGTCTCCACGCTCACAAGGAGAAAAGCTAACAACAACTAAATCACACTCCATGCGTAGGCTCCGGAGTAAGTCGAGACTTTTACATACATAGGCAGCATCACAGATATCCAAGAAAGATGTAACGTGCGAAGGCATAGATTGAAAAAGAAAGTGGCAGCATTCCCATAATTATAGAAAAAGTGTCCCATAAGACTTAAGTCAGAATTTTCACAACAGTCAGCCAGCCACAACGAAGAGTTTCGTACGTACGTACATCAGATCAAGTCGCCGTACCACATCGGCAAAGCGACGCAATTGTCAATTGAAGTCCCCATAGAAGAGGAAGTATAAGTGTTAGCGGTAATCGAAAGATTAGTTATCGAATAAACTATTCTAGAAGTATAATCCATTGAAACATTTTAAAAATAGAAAGATGAGGAATTCAGAAGATTAGATTTTGAGAGAACACAAAGAATGGATGCATCTGAGCCACTGCAAACGAATTTGAGTCACGACATTAAAGTCTCTAGCCATCGGTTACTACTAGCGTCTCGTGGAACGCAACCTGGTAATCTACACCTACTAATAGCTAACGAACATCCTCTAGTCTTAATGACTACATACATTTATTGAGGGACGGGGCGCCCAACTTCACATTACACTCGTCCTTTGGCTAGCAGACGGATATCTCGCTTACGCAATAAGTGACGCAGGTTGGCAAAAGCCAGTAGGGCCATCTGTATCCCTGTTAAGACTTCCTCACACAACAGGCCATCAACACTGATGAGACTGCCACAATAATGGAAGCAGTCGACACGCTCAACTGCTTCACTCCCTATCACTAGCTCAGGTGTCGATGCAACACAAACCAGAAGCAACATTTTGCATTTCAAGGGGGAAAACCGCATCCCGAATATGCTTGCATTGTTGCCTAAGGGTGGTCGGAAGGCTGCATTTTGTCGGCGTCTTCACTGAATAGAACTATGTCATCGGCATATTCTAAGTCAACAAGCGAATCTCCCAGTATAAGCTCAACTCGTCAGAAGTCAGACGAGGAAAGTGTCACATGCAAAAGCACGTCAATGAAAAAGTTAAACAAGAATGGAGAAAGTGGCAGTTCTGATGAACACCACTTGAAGTAAGCAATTCCGACGACAGTTCGCCATAAGCTCTCATTTGACCAGTGTTGTTTGCGTATCGAGCCATTATAAGCTTAACGTGATTCTCTGGTACACCTTCCAATGACAGACACTGCCATAGAACCTCACGATTGACAGAGTCGAATGCCACCCCAAGGTCAAGGAATACAACCATAGTCGGACGTCGAAATGTGTCTTTTTTCTGCGACCTGTCGTAGTTTGAATATGTGGTCTATACAGCCGGCGCAGTTTTCTCGAGTCTGCTCTTCGCGAGCCCTAGTTAGGCGTCGAAGTATTATCGAGGCTAACATTTTAGATACTGTATTAGTCAAACTGATTCCTTTTCGATTGTCACAAGAGGACTTTTGTCGTTTTTATAGATCGTGGTCGAATTCTGTGAAATAAAGTGACAAATTTAACATATTGGTGTATACAAACTTTGGGTTTTGTGTATTCTTAAGTACCATCATGGATAGTGCATTAATAATAAACTTATAAACTAAACAGCTTTTCAGCATGCTAAGATGCTGCTATGTTACCTTATCAATCTACAGAGAAGGGTTGGAACTGTGATTCATGTTTTTGTTTTCATCTAAACATTACCATTACAACAAAATAATACTCAACAACCTAGTTAATCATGGTGGTCATTTACTGTGAAACATGAAATTTGCTCAGGTTTCGATGATTATACACCTCTGACAGTGGATCAGATTACGTATACGTTACAGTTCATAGGTTAGAATTTGCGTAGTTTACATCGCTAGCATATGCTAGTACTATCGAGCGAGAAGTCTCAAAGTTGGACAAAGCACCAATCAAAGATAGCAAATTGGTTGGTAAGATTATGAGTCTTCGTCGACTGAGGTGGCTTGAGATGTGTTGATTATCCCGAACCACTCCCACCACGGTGCGCTGTTAACTATCTTGTGAGTACGTTTAGAGGAAGCTAGGGACGGTAAAATAAAAATGTGGGATCAGTTTGTGAAGCCCTTGACTTTTGAACTGAGCTATGCAGGCAAATGTAGATTGCTTAGTTGAGGTCCGCATGATCAGTGAAACCAATGGTTAAGCTGTTGAGTAGAGTATCGTAGATGTCTTTCGAGACGGTAGAATAACAGGTAATGGATGCCTATTTCCAACCTCTACGACTAAACATCAACATGTAACCTTTTTTTTTGTTTTGGCATATTGTCTGTACTCAATATAAAATAACATTCACTTCAGATTTACATGCTTACTCATTCATGTATTTATCAACTACATAGAACCTGACATAAATGTATTTCAGCCGAATTTCTCGCTAGTCAGGGTTTAAGTGTGACCGAATCGATCTCGTTAGCTGTTACGGGTATGAGGGCGGATGTCTTTCTCAGCTGGCCACAATGTGCAAGGTAGTTTTTTAAGGAACCTGAGAAAGAATAATTAGCGTTGTTCTTATCGACCTGAGGAAGTGACTGAAAAGCCCAAGGGATAACTGTTTCAGTTCGGTCACGCACGGTCTTTTTATGAGGAGTTTTTAAAGTGTTTGTCTTGCCCTTTTTAAAACGCCTGAGCGCCGGAGATGGAAATCCGTTAGGTAAGGTATGGTGTGACATTTTTATGGTCGACATTATAACACTACTTCTTTCCTTGTGAAAAGGTATCATCGCTTCAGACGCTGGTTGTCCCAGTGAAACGCCTCACCGCTGTCACACCTTGTTACAATTAGCAGTACGACTTCTTCCTCAGACGTCAGATGCTGCGTTTAGTCTCACGGTTCTCCAGTCGACCTGTTTAGCATTGTATAACTTAATGGAACCTATGTTTCAGCCAATATAGCTCGGTTGGTTCATCACGATATTCAAGCCTGACCGCCACGTCAAGGTAGCAGCTACGGTTCGGAGGTTAACAGATGAATCTGCAGCAATTCTAATGAAGTCTGAAATTACATCGACTGTTTAAAATCATTAAATTAAATTACAACTTCGATGTGTGATCAAAATTTCGAACTGAAAATAAATATGGCGTGCAATCCAACAATGTCTTCTCAAATTCGGGCCACAAATTAAGCTATTATAGAATAAAAATATATACCCCTTAAGTAATCATGTAACACGATTACTGAAACATAACAAGAGCAGGAGATCGCATTTCGATTTCAGTAATTCACTAATCTCAATTATAAAAATTTTGGTATTTTAAGCCAGTATGGAGGACTAATTACAACATTTTTGGCTTACTTCGGAACGTCCTGTTAAAAGAAGACAACCTCGTAAAGAAATAAATGTATCTCTTCCCCAAGAACGCCACATTCCTTCAGCAAAATGTGGTAAACCTGCAGCTAAACTGCAAAATGTCGCTTCCACTTCTGGATTCGGAGTATTCTTATTAAAATGGGCAACACGGCCAGGGAGGCGACTATTTCCAATAAAACCGTAAAATTGAGAAGTTGCTACAGCTAAATTTTTAGCAATTGATGAACTACTTCTTATCCAAGTTGAATATCGTAATGTAACCTAAAAAAATCAAATGGAAAAAAAAGTACTAGTTATATGACTATTTGAAATATTAAGTGATTAACTGTATTAACTTTGCTGACATTTCTGCTTTTTAGGAATGTAATATAAAAAAGACCATAGTTTATAAATCTTTATACTAATCAATTGAAATTTTAGAAATTGAAAAGGATGGTAGATAGGATAGAAGTTGTTCATTTAATGTGATATATGACATGGTTAAGCGAAAAACAACAATGAGAATTCCGTTCTTACAAAAAGTCATAAACTTGTATTAAAATGTAAAGTTTAGGTCGTTGAATCCAATTTTTATGTACTTAACCTCAAGACAACTAGATTGAGTCGAGTCTTTTTTAGATTTGACTCACAATGGTTTAAAACAATTAGTTGAACTGAATTACTCAAATCTAAGTGAATATTAAGTTTATGTCGCTAAGTATAAGGATGAGGTTTAGCGATTCTTGAAACAACCTTCACAAATTTTATATTTCGTTCGTTAATCGAAAACAGTTATTGTGAATAGACGGTTTGTCAGGGCAAAATTAAAAATTTTACACAATTAATGAGTTCTTCTACAGGGTTACAAAGTATAAGTCTGAAAACCAATGATATATTAATTTGTGCGTATGTCTATAGAATATTCATCTTTTTCGGCCTTTATAAAGATAGAAAGAGCGTGGTATACGATAAAATAATCTTTTCTTGTATTTCACAAAAACACTCAAAGTCGTACCGATCATTTCGATGGACTTTTCACAGTACAGTGTTTTCGGTGTTCGTATCTAGTTTCAACAACGAAACAAATAAAAGGAGATTTTCACTGGCTAACTCGGCGAACTCAGTAGATATAATACAGACCATAGTTACTTTGTATCAACAGTCATTGTGACAGGCTGGTTTAATCAGATCAAAGCCAAATAAGTGAAAGATGTAGATGATCGGAAAATACTGGTCAAGATCTGGCCTAATTTTTCGAGGGAAACAGATAAATACTATGAATCTAAAATATAGCTTCGTTTTCTGAAGCACACACCTATATTAATGAACGAATTTGTGCTTATACTTTGATTCAGGTCAGTCCATAAAAGCTTCCTACTCATTCTTGGCTTTATCACCCAAATCCAGAAACATTTACATTAGCAATAAATTCAGATGATCATCAGACACAACATTTACTTTGTAGCTGCGTTTTTTAAATATATTTCTTTGAGATTTAGGATCGGTTCTCCCACTTGAATCATTTTAGTGATTTTACCGATCAGTAAGCTGTATTGTTGCAATCAAAGAATAGCCTATTTAAGAAAAGGCGTTGTGAAGGTGTTCAGTCAGTCAGCCAGATACAACAAAGAACTTCGTACATATGTACATCACTTCAAGTTGACATACCACATTAGCACAGAGACGCAATTGACAATTCAACACACATAGTAGCAGTAGTATCAGCAGTAATCAGAGAGATTACGCTTCCAAGGTATTATTCAAGAAGTAGATTTTAGTGAAATTAACTTAAAAGCAAAACGATAAAGGTGATGGGGAATCCAGAGGATTAGGATTTGAAAGAACCAAAAGAGTGGATGCACCTGCGTCATTGCAAACGGTTTTCAGCCATGTCATTCAGGCTCTCTGACCATCGATTACTATCATCTCGCGGGCCCCAACCAGGCAGTCGACACCTATCAACATAACTCAATCCGCTTGTCAGTAACTTTACGGATTTATGCCATGTTTTGGTCTGGCCGCTCCTAGCTTTCTCCCAACCTTCTCCTACACAACAAAATATAGCTCAACGAGGCAGTCGGTGATTTGACATTTGTAACACATGTCCCAACCACCTCAAATAATGAAGATTCAATACTTCAGTTATCTTTAGCTAGTACCCGTTTCCTAACGGCATTATTGCTTACTTGGTGGTCAGTCATAGTGTAAAAAAGTATTGGATTTCCCTGTTGAACAAAAAAGTAGTTCTCTTAAGAAATCTTAACTTTTCCAATACCGAAGACAAATCTCTCACAAAATAAAAGATTATGTATACACTAAACACTACTGACTGATGACTAGTCGAATAATATTTATGTGAATCGAAGTGTAATCTCTGGGTCAATGATAATGGTTTACCCACCTAATGACTCCTAATCTTTAAGTCATACTCAAGAATGACCAAATTGTTCGATTACGAATTCAACATAGTAGTATCGAAGCACACTATTTTGCTTTACATAATTTGAAAACAAAGATTTCTCCGTAAATCAAAAATACCATAAAACATTGAGAATACGCGGACCAAGAAGGCAAGAAATATACCATACGAAACTGAAAGAAAAACTCACCTCTAGTCTAATAAATTCCGTTAATGTAACTGTCAGTGCTTCAAAGTATGCAGGTACTAGATATCTTGGAATATTTGAGAGAGGTTTATACATAATTTTTAAAATATCACTCATTTGAATTATCGTTTCAGTGATAAGTTTGTCAGAATTACGTGGTAATTTTGTCAAACGTTCGGTTAAATAATGAGCTAACCAATTACCTTGACGAAGGTGTGAACAAATTGGATGACCTAAATCATTTTGATCACGAATTCCTTGTAGTACGTTTGAAATGCTCTATCGTTTTTAAATAAAAGGCAAAAATATATGTGATGAAACTAATAATGTAACATTACATTTACAATGACATATTAACATCTGAATAACTAAATACTTAAAAAGAAAACTATCTGTAAAACATCTCAGCAATTGAATTTAAAAATAACTAACATTTAGCTCGTCAGTTTTATTCAAGATTTGCCACAGAAATAACCAAATTACGGAATATGATTAGGTTTCAAAAAACAAAATTCTACAAAATGACTGTTCAACCACGTTAAGTTCATGAATACAGAAATTTTAGTATGAAATATTTACACAGGTCTGACGTAAAAATCCCCGAGTTACAGTAGAGACAGAAAGTTTCAAATCGAACTGTCCAAAGCATGCACGGAACGGCAATAAATCAATTAAAGTATTTCATAGTTTACATCACAAACTGATCTTAAAAACTTACCAAGCGGAAGACGGATTAGCAACATCGCGAAATGACTGACGCGAGATTCATGAAGGATTGGCTGCCGAGTGAGTGGTCTAAGCGCTGACTACAGACTTAAAGACTTTGAGATTATTGGTTAAGAAGGTTGTCGATGTGGACTACTGTGGACTCCTATAATATGACGAGACAGCCGTCTAGTACTTCCTAGTTTTCTAAGGTTGTCTAAGTAAGACCAGTAGGTAATATAAAATTCGACAGCTCCCATAATTTTGCTACATCAACAACAATAGCTTAGTTGTTTTTTTGTTTTTAAACATACTATGTATTATTGATTGGTAGTTTGTAAATTACTTCGTGTTTAACATTTTGTGGTTTTTATTTACGTTAAACATGCAGTAAAAAAAGTGAAATTTACTAATGAATTATTGCTATTGCTGGTCCAGAGTAAAGGGAAGTTTAGTAACTTAAAATAAATTATTTAAATACTACACTCATAGTCATTAGTTTTTGACTACCTCGTCATGATCATTAGTTTATATTTCTAAAAGTAACAAGTTTTAAAGCAGAAACTGGATCGAAAAAAGTAGGATAAGACGGGATTAATCAGTGGTGCATTCAATGGAGCATTATCAGTCTGCTTAGAAAAATGACGTTGCAGAATGCTAAAAACGAAAAATGAGAAGACCACACCCCACGGTGTGAGTACACTTCAGAAATATTCCTAAAGCTGTGAAACCTGACAAAAGATGTGAACGGGTTGGCCGTATGAGAATACTTTAAGATATCTACTCCAAATATCGATTACAATCTAACTTTTTAAAGTTCCTCGCTACATCTTATTTTGCTAACAATTGTGTGATTATTAAAAACCAAGATTCGCACCCTGACTGATTTGTGATCAACTTGGCCAACACCTATTACTGTGAGTTTTATTTTATTAATGATTAAATCTAAGTTAAATAAAAGTAGTAAGCAATCTGGTGTACAAAAAGGAGATATATTAAAGCATTACGTGCATTATATATATATATATATATATATCGAGTGCTTTTAGAAGTATAAGGGCGTTTTTCACTTCTCATATACTAACGCCATGGCAGCATCTCTTTTTGAGTGACCTAAATAGCAATCTGGGTCAATGATGGTCTTAGTGACCTGGGAGCGTGGTTGCGTAGCCTAAAAGGCAACTGCTTGAAACATTGTGCATGGCCTTTTTGTGTAAGCTTGTGATTGTTAGCTTGGTGCTGCAAAAAGCCTTACCATTGGAGACGAAAGTCTGAGGGCGAAGTCGTACTGATGACTGCAGAGAGGTGTGACAGCAGTAAGATGTTTCCCTCGGACAACCAGCATCTGCAGCGATGCTGCCTTCTCACAAGGAAGGAAGGGTTAGAAAACGTCGACCCTAAAAATGTCACACCTCACTCTACCTCACGGATTTCCGTCTCCGGTGATAAGGGCTACCCAATAACGGCTTTAAAAAGAGCGGAGCAAATACTAAAAAATCTTTAAGCAAAAGGCCGCGCGTGACCGGCCTCAAGCAGTTGTTCCTTGGGTTCTGCGGTCAAGCTCACAGGTCTTTAGGACCGACACTAACCTAACTTCCTTTTCAGGTTCCACAAGAAACCCTTCCAAAGTGTGGGCAACCGGGAAGTGATAACCGCCCTCATACCCGTAACAGCTCACGAGACCAAATCGGCCACAATCAAATCCTTCCCACATCCCCCTCATCTTCACGACTAACTCTTCGCACATTCCTTTATCACCTCGCACCTCTGCTGCAAACGATTCGAGTTCCCGAAACATTATTCCTGGTCTTTTGTAGCCCCGTTCTAAACTACATGTTGGAGCATTTAATGTACGGACATTGTGTCGAATAGGGCAACAGGCTTCCTTAGCTAGAAAGTTAGAATCTCGCTCAATCGATGTATGCTGCGTCTCGGAAACGCGCATACAGGATTCTAGTAAAATCATGAATCTGATTTCACCTTATCAAAATAAAGAAGCATCCCGATTTACTCTTCGTGTATCCGGTAGCCCTGATGCTGCTTCTAGGGGTCTCACTGGTGTAGGTATAGCATTGTGTCCTAGGGCACAACTACATCTCCTAGACTGAATCCCAATAGATAGTCGCTTGTGCGCTGTCCGACTAAACGGGACAGTAAGGACTCGGAAAGATAGGGACACTCGTCGTTGCCCCCACTGACTGCAGTTCAGACGAGGTGAAAGATGAGTTTTACAGAAAGCTTTTGAACCTCCTCCAAAAAGTTAAGCACTCTGATATAGTAGTAATGGCTGGTGACTTTAATGTTCAAGTAGGTAGACTAAGTGAAAAGGAAAGACACCCGGGTGGATCTTGTGGTGTCGCGACTCGAAGAACAAATGATGGCGACCGTCTGTTGCAAGTATGCTCAGATAACTGCCTATTTCTAGCAAAAACTAATTTTAAGCATAAGGAAAAACATTTTCGACTTGGCGACCCCCAAAGATTTCCCAACAATCGACCCAACTAGATCACATAGCTATAAGCCATCGGTGGAGAGGCTCTATTGAAGAGTGCCGCTCATTCCGGAGCACTTGTTTAGACTCAGACCATGCTCTAGTGCGAGCGCGTATTTGGTCTCAATCACTGATTGTCCTAATTTACAAGAAAGGACAAAAGTCTTCTTGTGACAATCACAGGGGAATTAGTCTAACTAATATAGTTTGTAAATTGTTAGCCTCGATCATCCTTAAACGCCTAACTAGAGCTCGTGAAGAGAAGAATAGAGTAAACCAGGCTAGTCTCAGACCTGGATGTGGCTTTATAGACCACTGTTTTACACTGACTGACTGAGTGAATTAGATTACAATTGAAAACGTGGGAGCACTGGACGGCTGTCTCGTTCTACTAATGAACTCATTAGCAGTACGCATTTATATTTATGAGATGAACTGAGGTTGATCAAGCTATAAGTAGGCGTAATTTCAAAAATCACATGTTTTTGATAGATTGTCGATGAAAACAGTAAGCTGTCGAACTAAAATCTCAACATACCTCGGTATAATCATAATAAATCCGAGTAATTTAAATATATATCATTCTTATACCGGTCACTCAAATTGTATATATGACACTTCATACGGCATAAAAACTAAAATGTTCCTAGTTTCACATAAAGTACATATTAGTTAAGTTTTTTTAAATTACACAGAACAGAGATTTTTTTATTGAAATAAATAAAAAATTAGGTCATTCTGAAAAGTAGATGTTAATCACTAGCTATTTTATAAACATTACTTGAAAAATGTGTAAAATAATAAGTTCTTTCTATGAAAAAATATTCCACCACCTTTAAAAGGTCATCTTATTTACTAACTAAATAACGTAAAATAATTAGCATGTAGTGCGTAAACAATGAATACAATATCATACACATAACCTTATAATCAAATAGTCGTAATCATGAACAAGACAAAGGTAAACGAACCCATAAATATGCGATATTATTAAATTTAAGAAGTTACAATACCAAGCAATATATCTGTAATGTATTCATTATGCCCTTGCAAAACCAACCGTTCACAGTTCAAAGTGGCTCAGCTTTGAATTTTTTCTTCTATGATTATCGTTACAGATTCTTGGCAGCACCTCACAACTACTCAGATACTTGAACATATAAACTGTTTTCAATGGTTAACCATTGTAAACACATTCTTCTTCCAGTGCCATGAGTCAGTCAGTCAGTCAGTTGCAACGTAGAACTTCGTACATAAGTATATCAGCTCATGTCGCCATACCACATCAGCACAAAGACATAACTGTCAATTCAAATCCAATAGTAGAAGAGGTAGTAAAGGTACTAGAAGTAATCGGAGAGGTTAGGATTAGAAGATATTATTCAAGAAGTATGATTCAATGAGATAAGTTTAGAAAGTAAAAACTAGAGATGTTGAAGAATCCAGAAGATTAGGATTTGAGAGAACACAAAGAATAAATGCACCGGCGCCATTGCGAACGATTTTGAGCCATGTCATTCAAGGTCTCTAACCATCGATTATTATCATCTCGCGGACCCCAACCAGGTAGTCGACAATTACCGACATGGCTAAGTCCACTAGTCAATGACTTCATGGATTTCTGCCATGTTTTGGTCTGGCCGCCCCTAGCTTTCTTCCAACCTATTCCTACACTACAAAACAAAGCTCGACGAGGGAGTCGCTGGTTAGGCATACGCAACACGTGTCCCAACCACCTCAACTGATGAAGTTTCACCAATTCATCTATTGATCTACCATTCTTACCTAGCACCCGTTCCCTAATAACAGCGTTGCTCACTCGGGTGTCCCACGATATACGAGCAATGCTTCGAAGACACCTATGATCGAAAACCAATAACCGACGAGTATCTTCTACTCTCACTGGCTATGTTTCACAGCCATAAAGTAAGACGGAGCGAACCACTGCACAGTACACTCGTCCTTTAGTCAGCAAACGGATATCTCGCCTACGCCATAAGTGACGCAGGTTGGCAAAAGCCAATCGAGCCTTCTGTATCCGTGCCGAGATTTCGTCAGTCACCAGAGCATCAGCACTGATGAG